TTGTTTATTAAACCTCAAAAAGTCCTTTAATATACGAATTGTGATCTGAAATAATATCCCAAGTTAATGATGATTTGTAAAATTTCGCAAAATCAAGTGATGACATTTAAAAACTTTTGCAACGACGAGTTATTTTTACCATCCGTTATCATTTGATAAAAAAGAATTCGATTTGGTTTAACGCCGTGAGTAATAATTTCTTCAATTGTTCATTGTTACGAAAATGAAAAAAAGGAAAACAATTTAAATAGGTACTTAACATTTTTTATGATAATTATGATTCCCATTTTGTCTAGGGTTTGAAAAATCGACAATTCCAATTGCAATTTCGATTATCAAGTAAAACATGTTATCGTCAATATAATTATTAACCTCGAGGGCATGGAATTGAGAAACTAGCAACATACATACGTACATAATAATTTATTGTTAGTAGTCTGTGTGACAAAATAAAATAATTGCATAATATGCATGTGTGTGGCATCAAATGTTTTTTTGTATTTTGCGTTTATTAGGTATAATTAAACCAAAAGTATGACAATAGCATTCAAAGTGGGGAGAAGGTAATTAAATCCGTTAAAACGCATTTAATTCTGAATCGTTGGAATCTGGTGTTCTGATAACGTAATACATATTTATCTATTATAATTGCAATATCAACGTGAATTTACGTCAACATTCAGTAAATAAACAATTAACGAAAACAGGGAAATAATATAGAGCCTTGTTATAAACAAAGTAATTGTTAGGTACTCTAACAATAATAATATCAAGTAAATACTTAATTTTACTAAAATGCAGAAGGCATAGGGCAACAAGTGAATAATCTGAAGACGACTCAATTAATAGATAATATATATATATATAAAATAATTGTTTGATTGCAATTATATATATATAAACAAACAAAAAAAATTAATAATTAAAATAAGAGACGAATAAAAATGGTGGAGGCGCCGGGTATTAATTTTGTTATTCGAGTTTATCTCTACCAATAACTTCAATTAATGATTGAAACCTGATTAACATGTACTACACAAATAAAATCTAACGTTATATAGCAAACATCTTTTGGAAATGAGCAATTAGATAATAGTGTTTCAAATTTTTCTTTTTCGTTTAAGTGTATTACAAAAATTAAAAAAATGGTGAAGGCGCCGGGTAATAAATTTGTTATTGGAGTTTATAATTACCAATAACTCATAAACAAACCTTGAATTAATGACAAAAACGTAATTAGCATGCCATCTATGTGCCATACAATTGAAATATAACGTTATCAGTTTGTTAAATAGCAAACACCTGCTTGAAAATGAGCATTTAGATAACACTACTCCAGTTCTTATCTTTCTGTTAAAGTTTACTACAAACATAACAATTTTCTTTAACGTTCTGTTTTGATAAGGACATTTCACATGTCTCGCGTTTGATTATCAGATGACCATTTCATAGACGCCATGTGTCGCAAAATGATAAAATTCGAATTTTAATGCAATCGAAAAAAATCACGTGCAATAACACTTAAAAAGTATAAGTGCTTTTTTATATATCTTTTTTGCACATTACCGTTTTATTTGAATAGGTAACGCAAGTTAAAAAGTTTTGGGATTTTTGCAATAAAGTTTAGGTAGTGTCTGCAAAGATTACCATGGTACCAACGAAAGATTTCAAACAGGTTAGCTAAATTTTTATACAATATTCTTTACATATCGATATCTAATCATTGCCGAAATAAAATACAAAGATCTAGACAAACTTTCGAAAAATTGATATGACTCTGAACTTCAATGATTGAGTTCGTTGCTCAAGGAGGATCAAGGACGTGTAATACCAGTATCAGGTTATGATCAAAGTCATTTCCAGTCCCAAAAACACTATCATGATATTAATTAACATGGGTATTATATAATAGAAAATAATTGCCAAAAGATAATAGGAGACAGTCTTTAAAATATCAGATGTTTATGTAAAATTTTAAGTGTTTAATTATTTATTTATTTGGCTGGTCTGTTTTTTTTGCTACAAATGAGTATCTTATAATATTTGAGAACCATGAGAGCTACAAATGTTGATAAGAAACTTTAAGATAAATAAGATAATAACGAGCTCCTTTTTCTGACTGGCCCCCATTGTTCCGTCCCTGTTCTTTGAATGAGCTCATGGTTGTTGTAATACTTAACAAGTCGACCTTCCATGTCCTCTAAAATCTAAATCACAAGCTGCTTCATTTTAGTTTGGGTGCGCAGCTGTAGTGTGGTGTATTACATTTTCCTGCCGGCGTTTCCAAATTTAATTCAAATTTAACCACGAAGGTATTTATTTTTTTAATAAACATTAAATAATGAAGCTTATTGAACTTTTATTGAATAATAATTCTATAAACAATTATTTGCTTTTACACATAATACATTGAGTACCATACTAATGCACCTAATCATGTGTAAAATGTACCTGCCTAGTCATTTGATATTTTAATATATCTATTTAAATACTAAATAATACAATTATTGCTTCATGGAATAATAGTTATTGGTTTGTATCTATGTAATTAATTAAAATTGAAGAAATTGTGTTTAAAATCATAAAATATACTACCCATTACCTGAGTAGTAATTAATAATATAAATTTTTAAATTGCAAGTTTACTTAATAATAAAATGAATTGTTCATGGAAAGATAATACGATTTGCAATGTTTTACACTGTAGTTCATATGATATAGAGACATAGGCGTCTCAAAGGTGGGGCTACATTATTGTTTAATAAATAAACAATATACCGAAAAAAGTTGTTTTATTCTTTTTTACTTATTACCGATACTTTACCGATAAATATTTTGACTTATCGACTTATTTTTTTGTAAGTTTTGGCAATTCCAAAACATGAAGTTTGAACATGGATTTCATCTTTATTTTTTCCATCGCATTAGCGAATTCTTCTTCATATTTCTCTCTTAGCCATTAGATCATCAGTTGCTGAACTTCTGCTTCTATTAGTTGCTTGGACCTTCGTTTTTTTGAATTCCGAATTAATTCCATTTTGTGCTTTTTCCAGGACAGGCAAAGACAAACGAAGAGTCCGCAACATTTTGGAAGATTGAAAAAAGAAAGTCGATACGAGGTTTTTTATTACTTGCATGACGCTTAAATAGAACTGTCTTTTGTCGCACTTTCTTAATATTCTTTTGCACCCTTTTTTTAAAATCCCTGCACTTTCCCATGCGTCTTAGGCAACTGTGCACTATGCTAACTTTAGAATTTGGAGATTTTCCAAAGAATAAATGAGGCAGCAATTTTAGCTTATGTGATCAAGCAGATGAGGCCAGAAGAAAACGTTTTAACGTTTTCCATAAACGTCACTCAAATTAATATGACAAAAACAGTACACTTTTATGCATCAATTTTTATAAAAATAATTACATTTAACATATAGTCAGTATACATTATATTTATACACATCACGATGTCAGTTTCGGAAGTTTTTCTAAAGGTAAGGCTTAATTTTCTATAATGGACATCGCAAAGCAATCAAAAGGAGTTAGATGCAGCTAGGAATCATGTGCTTCTTTCACTCTACTATTCTAATTAGTTAGTAGCATTACCTTCTACTGTAGCTGCAATCCCAAAATAACTGATGCATATCTTTGCAATGTCAGGTTTCAGACAACACTTCAATACTTTCCACGAATAAAACTGCAAATCGCCCAAACGCATTCAATTTAATCTGACGAACAAGTAGCGTCAGCAAGGGAGAAATCGATATTTGTTCCTCCGCAACCTGTGAGTTTATACTGAAACGATTTTCCTGTGGGAACACTCGTTTTCTCTAACGCATTTCGTTTTGCTTTGTTTTTTTTTCGGTTTGTTCTAAATTTAATGCTAGTAGTAGTGAGAGCTGCGCAGTTTGGTGGGATAGCATCATCCTTGAAGGATACATCAAGTTCATTGCTGGACTGCTTCCACCAGCAGCGGATTGTTTTAGATTTTTTCCAATCAGTGATTATAAAACAGTGCAAAATGGTTTGGACTCACAAATACGATGGCGATTCTTCCTCCACGAAGGTTATTATATAATCTAAATATACCCTCTCTATTTCTAGTTGTGGTTTCGTTGAATTATGTTATTTTATTGCTTGTCATTTTTGTGCACTGTAAGCATTTCGTTTTTAATGCAGCAGCTGATGTTCTCTAACAATGCTATTTTTACACTTACGTAACAGAAGGTCTCGAAAATATTTTTTTTCGTTTGTATGTTAATTAATAGGGACATTGTCTTTGAAACACAAGACTACACAAAGCTTTGGGATCGATTTTGTATATTTTTATCATTAAATTACTCAAGGACTACGTCACATTATCTCATCAATATTAAATTCTTTTAGTATCTCTTCCACAAAAAGGTACGTCAAAGATCTTTCGGATAAAGGTAACGGTGAACGACTTCTGTTTGAGATCCATTTTTGATTATGATTTGATTAGTTTCCTCATCCTTTCCAGATGGCTCAAGCTGGAGTTCTTCCCTCTCAGCTCCAAGCAGCGGACGCTGTGTCCCATTTGGAGCACATGTGTGCCCTTAACATTACTTCTAAAGTTTCTCTGGTACGACGTACCGGAATCGTGTGCACCATTGGTGAGTATTTTTATGAAATTACCTACCCATTTTAGTCACGAAATGCCTTCTGGTTAAAGGACCAGCATCAAGAGATCCCGAAATGTTGGTTCAAATGATGGAAACTGGCATGAACATTGCGCGATTGAATTTCTCCCATGGCAGTCATGAGTATCATGCCGAAACCATCAAAAACATTAGAACTGCTGCAGAATTGTATGATAAGAAACATGGAATCACGTATCCAATCGCTATTGCTTTAGATACCAAAGGACCCGAGATTCGTACAGGTCTTTTGGAAGGGGCAAGTTTTATCTATTTTTCTGGTACCTTTGTCACATTTTTATATGACGAAATGATTTTAGGGCGGTTCCGCTGAAATAGAATTAAAAAAGGGCGACACCATTCGCCTTACAACCGACAAAGCTTACGCAGAAAAGGGAAATGCAAACGCGATTTATGTAGATTACGAAAATATGCAAAAAGTCGTCAAAGTTGATAGCATCATTTATATAGACGATGGCTTGATTTCGCTTGTTGTGAAGGGAATAGAGGGATCCTTCCTGGTTTGTACTGTCGAAAATGCCGGCATGTTGGGTAGCAAGAAAGGTGTGAATCTTCCTGGAAGCGACGTGGACCTTCCGGCCATTTCAGAAAAGGACAAGTCCGACTTGAAATTCGGCGTCGAGCAAGACGTGGATATGGTTTTCGCGTCCTTCATTAGAAACGCTTCTGCTCTAACGGAAATCAGAAAGATTTTGGGAGAAAAGGGTAAAGACATCAAGATCATATCGAAGATCGAAAACCACCAAGGCGTGGAAAACATCGACGAAATCATTGAGGCTTCTGATGGCATTATGGTGGCTCGTGGAGATTTGGGTATTGAAATTCCTGCCCAAAAGGTGTTTCTAGCCCAAAAATCCATGATGGCCAAATGTAACAAAGTTGGAAAGCCTGTTATTTGTGCCACGCAGATGTTAGAATCGATGATCAAAAAACCGAGACCTACAAGAGCTGAAGGCTCAGACGTGGCCAATGCTGTTCTGGACGGAGCAGATTGCGTCATGCTATCAGGAGAGACAGCGAAGGGAGATTATCCCATCGAATGCGTTCAGATTATGGCCGAAATATGCAAAGAAGCCGAGGCAGCCATTTGGCAGAAGCAACTTTTCTTCGACCTCACTGCTCACGTAAGTGTTCGGGAGGGTTTCAAAAATGATTTTTTTTTCTGCCAGTGTTATTGAATTATTATTACTTAGATTAAAGTGCCAATTGACACTGCACACGCTTTGGCCATCGCAGCTGCAGAGGCTTCTACGAAATGTTTGGCAGCTGCTATAATCGTCTTGACGACATCGGGAAGATCGGCACATCTTGTGTCTAAATATAGACCACGTTGTCCTATCATCGCTATCACAAGAAACGCAAGGACAGCACGACAGGCTCATCTATTCAGGGCGATACTTCCTTTAGTGTACAAAGGTACCTACTAATTTATTAAATAAAACATTAAAACCCAACGTGTGTCGTAAAAAATCTAAACCGTGTTTCGTAAATGCCATCTTTGTTTAGAGGGGATGCGAATAGTTACAATAATTGTGTTTTATTGAATTGCCATCGACCAATACTGGATAATCAATTACCCATTTTATTTTACAGAGGAACGATGCAGCGACTGGTTGAAAGACGTCGACAACAGGGTTCAGTATGGAATAACTTTTGGTAAAGTAAGAGGATGTATTAGTTCAGGAGATCCCGTTGTTGTTATTACAGGATGGAAACAGGGTTCTGGATACACCAACACCCTACGTATAGTGTATGTTTCTGAAGTACCCGAAACAATAGTTTTATAATTGCATATTCTTTTACATTTAAGTAGGTAACTAATAAAAGCATTTTTTTAACGTCGTGTTCTTTATGTTTACAGTTACGTGGATTAAACGAGGACTTGTTTTATAGGCAACAAATTCCATGTTTAGAATTAATATCTATAAAAAAGCTATTCGTCGTAATACCATCGCAGCCATGGTTTAAATAAAATAAAAAATATTTATTTAAAAAAAACTGTAAAACTAAGAAATGAAGTATTAACTTGTATAGGCGTTTTTTATATTTCAACCACCAAATTTATCCATTCATCCTTATATCCTGTCATTATTTTTTTAAACTACGCTCTAAAAAAAATCAAAGTACCATTTCTTCTGTCATGTAAATTATTAGTCATTATCTAGTCTTTTGAAGTTAAAATTTTAGTTTTTCGATTTTAAGTTTATTCATTTTGTCCAAATTTTTTACGTGGTGCCATTTCAATTAAATTAAACATGAGTACAAACAATAATGAAGATAATAACTCCGGGGACAATCCCTGCCCCAAATTACCTTGGGTACTTTGAGAAAGAAATATCAGATGAACAGTTTTGTCATTCTACTTTTTTAATCGATGTTTTAGATGATAGACTTTCACAGCAAAAATGAGAAACTATTAAATGGCCAATGGAGTGCCGCATACGCAGATAATAAATTAGAACATCTGTGCAAATTGAGTTTAGATTCGGATCCATTGAGATGTAGGATGACAAAAATCATGTGTACAATTGGTAATTATTCGCGTTTATCCATAAAAATAGGTCCTAATTGTATTTCAAACTCTTGAAAACGGTAGGACCCAGTTGTTTTGACATGAAAACGATGATAAATCTCATGAAGGCTGGTGTAAATATATTTAGAATAAAAATGTCACATACTACAGTAGAATCACATCACGATGTCAGTTTCGGAAGTTTTTCTAAAGGTAAGTAATATTTTGTAATTGTCTGGCACATATCTGAAATAAAATAAATAAATAATAATTAACATTTTTAAAACTGCAATGCAAATGGCAAACGTTTGAGAATATTATTGATTCGGGTTATCGATTAATAACCGGTTACAATTGGTTATAATTGCAAATTTTTAATTAATAATCTAGTATCGACTTCAAACACGATCGCCTTTGACCTTTGCCTTAAATATGAGAAGCATTGTTGTATTATACAGCGTTTAGAAAGAAAAACGAGAAAACAGGTAAAAAAATACTTACAATAATTCTCTAATAAGATTTTGGGCATCTTGATTAATCTTCTCATAGTCTTTCGATCTGTGACTCATTTCTACTATACTCATCCCGGTTCCTTTGAAGGATAATAATTCCTGTTGAACATCTTTAAGGACCTGAAAAAATGTGAAAAAATTAAATTAATTACAATTACAATTAAAATATCGCAAACTGTATAAATGTACGAATGTGAGTTTGTTTGTTTATTACCATTTGACGCCTGAACTATTCAACCGATTATGACGAAATTTTGTACACGTTTTGTCAGGGATTCAGAACAGGACATAGGGTATCTTTTATCTAGAAAAAAGATATTACTCCCGAGGGATAGAAAAATAAATTTTATGCGATCGTCGGTGATTTTTGACACGTATTTAGGACATCAACGAAAGTGAAGCCGAGAGTACAACCTAGTTAAGAATAAACCAGAAATATATTTAATTTAGTTTTTATAAATTACTATCCTGTACACCCAAAAGATTTTTTTATTNCTCTTGAAAACGGTAGGACCCAGTTGTTTTGACATGAAAACGATGATAAATCTCATGAAGGCTGGTGTAAATATATTTAGAATAAAAATGTCACATACTACAGTAGAATTTGCCCAAGAACTTGTGCAGAATATTCGGACAGCTAGAGACAAGTACAGCCAGCAAAGGGGCTACATGTATAATATTGCCATTTGTTTTGATCTCGAGGGTCCCGGTTTCTATACTGGTAATTTGGAAGATGTAAGACGATTCATTTATACAAAAGTCTTCATTTTTTTAATAAAAATAAACAATAAAATATGTATATGATGCAAGTACCTTTTTTTGTCCTGAAATCCTAGAGTACTTCTTATCAACTTGAATTACGCGAAGGATTTCATACAGTTCTAACTGGCAACAAAATGTTTAAAGAATTTGTTAACGAAGATGTTATATACGTGTCGTGCGATTTGGTACAAGAAGTTGTTAAACCGGGAGACAAAGTATACCTCGAACATGGCGCCATTGTCTTAGAAGTTTTGGAAATTGGTAAAATAATATACTGATTATGGTAGTTTTCTGTTTTTTAATTAACAAATGTCTTAATTGCACTACAGCATTATTTATTATTTATTAATTTATGTTAAGAAGAGAAATCATCAAACTTTTCCAGATAGGGGAGAAGTCAAGTGTATTGTTAGACAAGGTGGTTATCTTACGAGTAAATCTACTGTAGATATTCCGGGAATACCAATAATGACTGATACTGTAACAGAAAAGGACGTTCTTACACTTCAGTTAGCTGTACAGTTAAAAATTGACTCAGTAGTCCTGTCTGAAGTGAGAAATTCACAAGTTATAATAGATGTTCGAACTCTCCTAGGTACTTAGGAATTGAACTTTCTCTACTAAAATTTGTTAAATACCATACTTTCAGCCGATATACCGGGTGGTGTTGGAATGGTATTAATTCCAAAAATTGACTTTGCTGCTAATATTGATGAATTTGATAAAATATTGGAGTTATCGGACGGTATTTATTTCTCGAGAGAACGATTGCGAATCGAGATAACTTCCGAAAAATTAACCATAGTTCAAAAGATGGTAATTGCAAAATGCAATAAGGTAAATACCAATCAATTTTAGTTAAAAAAAATAATAACAAAAATAGGACTTGACCCCGACGTGATTTGAACACGCAACCTTCTGATCTGGAGTCAGACGCGCTACCGTTGCGCCACGGAGTCCTGTTATTTTCCACTGTCATTGTCATAGATAAATTTACGATTACGCTGTAATTTATTTGAATTTCTAAGGCAGGAAAACCAATTTGTTGTGCAAGTTCACTACTAGAATCGATGATAACTCTTTCAAGACCCCTTAAAGCAGAATTAACAGATGTTGCAAATGCTGTAATGGACGGAGCGGATTGTTTGGTACTTTCAAGGGAAACTTCTATCGGTGATTCCCCAACTAGTGCAGTTAAAATATTATCAGGTAAAATATAAAACTTATGAGTGGTTGAACAACGAATTGTTATTCATTTACTTCAGGTTTAGCTTTGGAAGCAGAAAGTGCCGTTTATGCACGTGAGGTTTTTCAAAATTTAATCAGCAATTATGAAACACCTGTTGAACCTGAAAAGGCCCTTGCCTTCTCAGCTATTAACTTATCAATGCGTTGTTATGCGGCAGCCATTATTGTTTGTACTGTTTCGGGGAAATCCGCAAGACTTCTTTCAAGATACAGACCGCGATGCCCAATTATTGCCGTTACACGATATGCCAATGTGGCTCAAAGGCTTAATATGTGGCGAGGAGTGTTACCATTTTTATACTTTAGTAAGTATTATGCTTATTTGTTTATTTATATATTCACTTACCAATAAATTGTTAAATTTTTCACTTTATCACAAGCTTGACGCAGCCTAACGACGAACGGACGAACTGACTTACACGCCATTTTTCAAACTGCTAGTTTGCGTTTTTATTACAACGATGAAGATGTCGCCGCAATCTGGTGGAGGGAATTATAATTTGAATTTTGAATTTATTCTTTTTTATAAAGTAGTAAACAGAGTGTTCTTTTTTGTTCCAGAACGTCCCATATGTAATTGGAAAAAAGATCTGGATACGCGAATACAAGTAGGGATGACTTATGCTAAATTAAATGGAATTGTAAGAGCTGGAGATGCAGTTGTAGTTGTTAAGGCCTTACGGCTAGGATCAGGATTTACAAATTCAATGCAAATTGTTTATGCGTCTGAATTTGACGCTCTTCCTCCAGACAAACCATGATTGCCCAAATATAGATTACAAACGTCAAGTATGTACAATTGTTATAACAAATGTTTCATTGAAGTCCTTTTGTTTTGTACCATACCTTTTTGTTGATTTTATTTGAATGTGTAAAGGTAATTAAATAATTGTTAACATGCTATTACTGTGTGCTTTAATTGAACCAAAACACTTGATTACTTCATTAAAATTAATAAAAAAAAAA